ATCTTGTTAGCTTCAGGAAGATGTTTTCTTATGATATCGACATAAAATTGACCGGTCATGATTTCGCGAAAACAAAAAAGACTGGCCTTTCCTTTAATACCCAGGCATTAATTCTGGTTCGGTCTTTAGGAATGGGACAACCTGGCCGAATATCTTTATACCAGTACTCTATCGTAAAAAGTGTGCGATTCCGATTATCATTAATATGTTTCTGGGCCCATTCTATTCGTTTTTCCTTATGAGCATAGGCGTCGCTAGTGGACGTTTTTTTTTTTTTTTTCATATCCAAGATGAGCTAAACTGTTACATAAGAGACATTTATACCCTTTAGCAACAGTTTATTGGCCAATGTTCTTGACGATATTGCCAAATTTCGTCTAACATATTGACCGAGAGCTTTCGAACATTCTGGTGTAATCTTTTTGGGACGACCCGAGCGCTTTTTGTGGGCCGTACTCCCGGTTTTCTTCAACTTTTCAAGATTATAATAAATAGTTGATCTCGGGATACCTGTTCGACGTTGAATTTCAGCAGCATCTTTAATTCCCTGATTCCACAAATGTTGAATGGATTGGGCTTGTGCAATTTGGTTGATAGACTTCATTGTATTCACGTTTATTGAGACAAAAGATAAACAGATCGTCAGTAGTAAACAAAGTAAAAGTTAGTAATAGATGAAGCAGTGGTACAGCACTTTAACTTAATTTGGCTGGGCTGTATGACTTTTAATTTTGTCTCCGATTGTCCAAAGACTTTTGTAACACACTGTACATTCCTACCTCCTCATTTGTATTCCCCCCTATTGTATCCCAACCTCGGCTATATTATAATCTGCGTCCCCCCCTAAAAATGTACTCCAAAGATTTCCATTCTGCTGTGGTCATCATATTGGACATGCCAAAAGTTAGTGAGTTGGGCGTTTGACTAATTTTTTTGCAAGGACGTTGGCATACTACTCTCATTAATAGAGATAGTGACACTTAGAATTATATTACAAAAGTTAGGGGTTCTACGTAGCTTACTAGATAAAGATTTGCTCGCTAAGCATAGAAAAAGTCATATATACGTAGGAATACCTGTATATGAAACATTACGGATCTACCGATATATGAAAAAGCCATGCGTTTCTTGGAGATAGGTTGAAAATGTGGTTGTTCAAAAATGATTCCGAGAGAAAAGTTTGCCGAATTACGTGAGGCGTTTCGAGCACTCTCTAGATCCGAGCAAGATATATTTTTAATGGCCCAACTGAAAGCAATAAATGATGGAGAAATAACTGCCAGCCGACGTCTTAAAAGAAAACGCGTACGAATAAGCGAACGTTTTACTACTGAGATCGCAATAACGCCACTTTGTCAGAAACGTATCTCAATATGTTGGGAATTGGTCGCACGCACTTCGAAAACGTCAGAAATCACCTAGTGACAAATGGTATAATACCGCGTGTTCATGGTAATGTAAAAAGAATACCGAGATGGAAAACTAAAATATAACCGTTGCTACTGCCGTGAAAAATTTTCTCAAAAACTATGCTGAAATTCATGGATTACCAAGTCCTGGTAGAAATGTCAATCGCATTACTCAATCGCTTACACTCTTGCCAGCCGAAACTAGTTATAAATTTGTTTATCGTGATTTTATTGCAGATCTCGAAAACAATAGCGCATTGAAATTGTTAAAATATGATGCATTTCGCAAGTTATGGCACCAATTAACGCCTTATATTCAAACCATGAGTCCAAGAACGGATTTATGTGATACTTGTCAACATTTTCGGAACGGCTGACAGTATAATGCTCGTAAGGAAGAACATCCAGTTAAGGCTAAATTAGAGAGAAATTATTACAACAAAAATACGAAATTAGCAGAACAACAGAGGAAATTGGTAGATGATAATTACGCTAAAACAGGAGGTAATAGTAAAGCTGATTTTTGTAGCATTAATGCGACTGCTCATTACAGCACAAAACGTCCATGTGCCCCATTCCGATCAGCAGGTGAGTAAGATTTATAAATTATCGGCAAAGGTCCTAATGGTACACTGAGCATGGTATTCGATGGAATAAAGAAATTGAGTAAAGGCGAAAAACATTTAAAGATTACTTGTGATAATGCAGGCGGACAGAATAAAAATAATGCTACTATTTGATTTTACTTATATTTAGTAATTTGTGGTTATTATGAAAGTATTGAGTTAAATTTTATGATTCCTGGACATATCAAATTCAAATGTGATGGTAATTTTGGACGGATTAAAAAGCTTTACAGAAAAACCATTGTATATTGTGTGGATCATATTGTTGAAGTAGTAAAAAAAATCCAGTTCGGCAGGCTTGAATGACGCTCAATGTTATAAAAATGGAAAAGGCTTTCAATACTTAGATCTTAATTCTGTTTAAACATTTTCTTTAAAAAATTGAATGGTTTGCAAATGTACCAACACTTTCTTTTTGAAGCAGCTAATCCTGGCATTGTTAGAACTCAAACAGTAGCTAATGAGCCCTTTGTTAAATTTAATTTAGTTAAAACTAAAAACACAAATACAGTCAACCCTCTCTATAGTCACGCTGTCGGGAACAATGCAACTTTTGTTGAAAATGTGCTTCTAAAGAGGTTGTGACTATATAGAGGGTTTTTCTGATAAGTTCAATAGTAATTGGTTCTCAAACATGGTGTGCTTATAAAGAGGTTTTTATATGACGTGCTTATAGAGGGGGTGACTATAGAGAGGGTTGACTGTATATTAAAAAATCAAAACTTTTTCTATTTTGGTATTAACTTAGACTACAAAAGACAAGAATATCTTTATAATAATATTCGCCCATTTGTTAGAGATAAATTCAAAGACATCACATGTCCCAAGCCAGTTTAAATAAATATTGTCAAAAAAATTTTATTTTCTGAAAATTAAACCAATAAGCAAAGTTAAAAAGTTAAACCCATTGCTATTACAAGTAAACATTTGTAGAATATTAATAAATAAGTCTGGAAAGTCAATGAAATATGTGACAAACAGTGCAATTTACCAGGAGCAAAGACAAAAAGCTGGATGTTTTCAGCAAATAACTTTTGCACTGAAGGAACACCATCTGGTACTATAACGTCACAATCCTTGAGGACAGAAACCAGGTCTTGTTGTGCATCCTGTTCTCTTGCTTGATTAACATCTTCAATCATCTTTGTGGCTTTGACTGTGAGCTGGTTTGTATTATAGTTATCAAGCTGATGGGTACTTTCTTTTTGATTGCTTCCTTGAGATCGGCCATGTCATCAACTTCTTCCAATGAAACTTTATCCCAGGCACTTTCCAGTTCATCAGCTTGAACCAAGCCTTTGGAGGTCCCATGTCAGTGGCTGTTGCTGTACTAGATGAATTTTTCCAGAGCAGTATAGATACTTGATGTGAATAAAGCTGAGCTCCTGAAAAGCTAAGTATGGAATTTGGGAAATACAATGACAGTTAATATTTTTTTTCCTTGCAACAGAAATTCCCTCACAACAGAAATTCAACCATGAACAAGTAGTACCTTTGATGAACCAATGGATGCTTCACTTGTGAAGAGCAAAGCTGCAGCTGGGCATGCTTGTTAGCACTCACCTTCCGAGACAAGTGCCAAGGTGTCATGCATAAAAGTTCAGCATCAACATGAGTTTCAAGGGAAGGTGAGTCTGTTGAACAAAGACTCGCAACAGTATTTATGCTGAAAAAAAGCCACTTTTACTTTGGAATGTGAGAGAAAATGTATTATCAATCACATGCTGAATGTGATCAACAGTTTGTTTATTATTCTTTATATTAAAATAACATGTTGGTCAAATAATCGCAGGAAGTAGATAATGTATCTGTCGCCAGATAGTCTTCAATCGTACGAATATTGAAACCAAGTATAATAATAATAACCACTATTCTATCTGAATAATAATTGTTTATTGTTCACATTCTGATCAAACAATTACACGTGATTATGATCGGCTATAAAAATTTTTCGACGATTGTGGACAAGTGTACACTTAAATTATTTTCGTTATGGTATTACTACTTTACATAAAACTTTTGAGTAAACCACGGTTCACATCACTAAACTTACCCATTTCACTTCTTATTTTTAAAAACTTACTATTTTAGAGACCTATCTTATTACAAGGACACACTCGTTCGCTCACGCAGATCAAATACAACCGCGAAGGCGATCTTCTCTTTTCATCAGCAAAAGATCACGTTGTCAATGTATGGTTTTCGCATAATGGTGAACGATTGGGAACTTATAACGGTCATATCGGGGCTGTTTGGACAGTTGATGTGAACTGTATCCTTTTGTGATGTTTGAATACAAGTATCACGAATTAGTTTATTCATGGTGACTTACACTATTTAGCCTGTTTTACTTTGTTCATTCCTACAACATACGTCTCATACTGTACCAATGCTTTCAGAATATCACTTTCTTTAACTCTCTCTCGCCTTCCACTTGCATAGCTGCAAGTAAGCTACTATTGTCAGGCTCAGCAGATAACACCGCAAAACTCTGGGATGTACGAACAGGCAAATGTTTGCATACCTGGGAGTTTCACACTGCTGTGAAGAGAATCGCGTTTTCTGAGGATGACACAATGGCATTAGCCGTCACTGAACAGCAAATGGGATACCAGGGGGCCGTGGCTATTTTGAAAATAGACTCTGTGCTTGAGACAGGGGGTATGTATGTTCGTTTGGACATGGATTTGGAGTCGATTTTGAAGGCAGACGCAGATTATGATTTTGTTCTTCGTGTTCTTTGTAGAGCAGGATGAGCCTTTTGTGATTAATCCTGAACCGACGAAGGCTGTGGTTGCTGCTTGGGGGTATCTTAACAAATATCTTATTATTGGGCATAAGGATGGGATGATTTCTCAGTATGATTGGAAGGTATGTGAATGAATAATGTAATATTTTGAATTCATATACACGGCATCATATCTAATGCGGGTTCTAATTCGAATTATATGTCCTTTTTACACCCGGATTTTCTCATATAATACATCAGACTGGTCAAAAGCTAAATTCTAAGCACCCCCATTCCGATGTAATCACCGATCTCCAAATGTCCCCAGATCGTACTTACTTCGTAACATCCTCAAAAGATAAGTCAGCTCAACTGTTTGAATCCAACACTCTCAATCCTCTCAAGAAATACGTCACAGACTGTCCGTTGATCTCTGCATCCATCACTCCAATTCAAGATTTTATAATTGTTGGTGGTGGTCAAGATGCCATGCAAGTGGCTGGTACATCGAGAGGGAAGTTTGAGTGTAGGTTCTGGCACAAAATATTGGAGGAGGAAGTAGGAAGAGTTAAAGGCCACTTTGGACCTATAAATACGATTGCGGTACATCCAGACGGTAAAAGCTTTTCCTCGGGTGGAGAGGATGGATATATCAGAGTACATCATTTTGATGAAGATTATTTCAAGTTTACATACCCTGAGTTTCAGCATATTGGTGCTTGAGAGAAGTAATATATGATAGAGGCACGAGTAAGTAATTTGTGGATGAACACGCTCCGAGTTCTATTGAGAACGTGAATAGAACATCATATGGGATCTTATAATAGACGAATTATTACAAAAAGTATTGAATGTTTTAATATGTAATAAATACTCAATTTGCGACTACGCTTTATTACTGTAACCTCTAATACCGGATATATCAGCTAGCCACGATATGAAAGTACAGATGTCTGACCGATCTTCATGAGCGTAAGTACACATTATTTGATATTACAAAAATGCCCACATCTTGATGTCTATGACCCAATTTAAAGTTGGATCGGAATAAGCGCGTTTATTTCAACAGTAGCACATAAGATGTCGCTTATTGGTGATAGTGGACAATGCGCGCCTATTTCGACTCGGATCAAATCGTATACTTTTATTTGCTGATGGCGTTCTAAATATTTTCGTCTTATATTGACTGCAACTATCGATTATGTTCATGTTTTGCGACCGAGTTGTATTTTCGTTGGTATGGGTTATTCAGAATGGGAGTCACTGTGGCTTAACAAATTAACCCCTGAAATTTGGTCGCGCGACACATCTCTTCTTTGCCCTGCATTCTATTACAAATTCTTTTTTTCCTTTTTTGCTTTTCCACCCTTTAAACTTATGTATGAAGGATCTCCACCTAATACAGCTCAACGATTACAATTACTCGTTGAACACTTATCCCCACCTTCCTCTTCTTCCACTTCCGAACGGCGCACTCTCTCCCCGAGCGAAACGCTCATAGTCCGCACTAACTCTGAGATAAAGTGGAATGGTCACGGCTATCGTGATACCTACTTTGAATTTGATGACAAAGGCACGGCTTCCTTAACCGGATTTCGCTACTCGAAATACAGCTCGAAAGAGTTTCATGATCTGCGACCTTGGTTAGAGCAGACACTCCGTATCAACTTAAAGACAACGTTACCCTCGCAACCAACTATGCCAAGTATTCATAGCCCAGTGGTAAATCACGAATTCTACGATATGATTAAACCTTACGGGATTCAAATCTCCTTCTCTGAACAGGATCGCCTGTGTCACGGACACGGTCGTAGTACCTCGGACATTTACCGACTCCGTTATTCAAATATTGCTCGTCTTCCTGATGCTGTAATCTGGCCCGAATCTCACGAGCAAGTTGAAACCATTGTTTGTGCTTCTCAGAATTGCAACGTTGGGTTGATTCCATATGGTGGAGGATCAAATGATGTTAATGCTTTAGAATGTCCTGTTGAAGAAGACCGTAGGATGATAGTGGTGCTCGATATGAGACAGATGAACAGGATATTAGGATTGAGCAAGGAGAATATGTTTGTTACCGTTGAGGCGGGCGCTGTTGCAAAAGATCTAGAAAAGGAATTGAGGAAAGACGGATTTACTCTTGGTTGGGGAGCTGAGAGTGTAAGTGCATGGAAAAGGTCTTACAAAGGAAATAACAAAAAAATGGTTTCTGAATGGGGTTGTGTTTCGAATATTTTTATTGCAGGTTGAGTTTAGTACTCTTGGCAGCTTGACAGCAAGACGTTCTTCTGGAATTGAGAAGAAGTTTTATGATTTTACTAAAAGTATAATTGAGATCCAGATGGTCACACCTGCAGGTAGGGAAGTCTATACATTGCCAATTTGATTAGAAAATTTTTTTTTTTTACTTTTTCATATTAAATCCATTTTTATTTCAAGGCACAGTCCAACATGCATCTACTACTCCGCCACCTCCAACTACTGTTGGCCCATCTTTATTACACATATTTCTCGGCTCAGAAGGCACGCTGGGAGTGATAACTTCTCTCACGCTCAAAATCTATCGTCTCATTCCTCACCGTCGTGTCGTCTCTCTATACTTTCCCACATTTCAGACTGGTCTTCTCTTTCTGAGAGAAATTACTCAAAGGAACGTTGTAAAACTCGTTGGTGCGAGAATGGTAGATGAGGTGGGATTGGATTTAGTCCAAGCATTCAATACCCAAGCGCCTAATCTTACTAGTATTTTTAAGGATGTAATAAAGAGGTATTATTGGAAGAAGGTAAAAAATTTAGTGAGAGGGAAAATGTGTTTGGCCGCTATTATCCTTGAAAGTGAAGATGTGGGAAAGCTTCAAGTGTATGAACAGAGAGTGATTGGTGTGGCAGAGAAGTTTGGTGGAGTTGATGGTGGTTGGGAGATTGGCGACCATGTGTTCAGTATATCTCAGGTAAGGAAGGGCTATTGATTAGAAAGAATTGTGACATGGTAGGCACGCCATACTCAATATTTTTTTCTCGTAGACGTTACCATACTTGCGCGACTTTCTTATGGACTATTATGTGATTTCTGACTCTCTTGATACTACTATATCGTGGTCTCACGTTCAAGAACTTTCCGAGAATGTAAAGAACACAATAAAGGCAACTTGCAGAGCTCAGAGTGCAAAGGCCAGCCCGTGGGTAGCTGTCAGAGTGGATACAGTGTACGTGAACCTGTGATTGATTCACATAGAAATAGGAGCTCTTTCTTGGTATGATACGGTTAACGACTGGTAATCCTTATCCACGCCACAAGTTATGTGCAAAGACAATGGATGTACTTGTTCGTGGTTCAGTTTTTTGAGAGAAAAGAAACTTTTGATACGATGTTAATCAAATTATTGGCAAGCTTAATTTTCTTCATCCGTACAATATAATAAGCTTACCCGTAATGATTATATTTATTTCATTCTCTATTAAATCAGTTATGACACAGGTGTAAGTCTGACATTTATGTATGGATTTAATTTCTGGAATCTGTCTGACCCACATGGTGCTTTACTACGCGTTGAGCAAGCTGCTATGGTTGAGATATTAAAGTTGCGTGGATCGGTCTCTCATCATACAACTGGCATTGGAAAGAGGAAGAAGGAGATGTTTATCGAGTCATCATCAGAGGTACACACAAAAAGAACAAAATAATTTGGATCAACATGTTTGACGTCTATTCTAATATTATTTTTATCTATTTAGACTTCTTTGGCCGTACTTAAGAGTGTCAAAAAGTAAGTTATCAATCATTAACGATACTCACACTTTCCTATTTCCACTCATCTCTATTCTTTCTTGTTATAGAACTCTCGATCCTTCAAATGTCTTCTGTGTTCAGAATTTAATATGATAGACTGTATTTATATGGATTGATAGATATGTATTTATAGTATGTTTTATGCAATGAGCTAGATCAAGCGAAATTTTATATAGCAAGATCATATGGGATGATAGAGTCTTCTATTCCCGCTCCGCCAACTGTAAGAGCTTGTAGAATATTAAATAGAAAAATCGGAAAATTCGCTGCAATATCGGAAACCCACTGTACTATATAAATTTAGCTAATAAAGGCAATCATTTTTTTAGCATTAAATGATAGCGCAGCTTATAAGGGAGTTTAACTGCATATTATTATGTAGGGAATGTCATTTATTTTAATTTTGCTTAAGGTAAAACAGGGTAATTTGGCTAATCGGGTTTAATAGCCTGAGTTTTTTTTTTTTTTAAAAAAAATGGGTGGAAAAATAGAGAAAATTATTTAAACGTAAGAATCTTGAATTTTTACTCAAATAAATTTTGCGAATTTGATCATATCATATTTGCTAATAATCCGTTCCAAGACAGCCAAAAAAATTTAAAACGAAAAATTATTGTCTTGTATGATTAATTCTTTATCAATTTCGAGTTTTAGATTTATAATTTTGTTCTTCTTATCACTATCCGATTTTTAATTGCGAGTTCTTCCCAGAAGACGTCTTATTAGAGCTTGATTTACAAAACCAATTAACTGCATCAAAAATTTATTGTCTATTAATCTTTTGACTCATACAAGGAAAACTTATACAAACGGAAGATACGAATTGAAAAAAAAATAAAATTAAAAACTAAATGGAATTAATAATTGCGGCAGATTAAACCGAAATCGGATTAAAATGAAATTTGGGATCTTTTGGATCCTCTTAATGCCTCCGAAACCCACATATTTTTGCATTGTTGAGACGTATTCGTCTTCACGATAAGTTTAAGCAATGTGGAATGAAATGATGAATCTCACTAAAGACCACGTGAAAACATATCTATCGACGATTGCTGGACCATTATTAATTTCCTCTCCCATTGCAGACGGTGTGTAATACGAGTAAAAACAATCAGCTGTTAATGCAACCAATTGTTGTAATAAATTTTAAATTTTGTGTTAACAACCTTTTCCAGTGTATTGTTGCAGTAATGGCAAGGCGGATAAAGTATTGCAAGTTTGGGAAAAGTGCAGTAATTGGAGATTACCGTTGTATTGTCTAAAATCAAAGATTACTTATTAAAAGTGGGGCTATATTTGGGTATCCTCTCAATTGCAGTACGCAATCAGCTTGTAATTCATGCGATACGCGTCTCCGTTTCAAGCCGACTCGTTTATCCATAATAGTTTACATGGAGAAACGCGTCAGGCCATTATCGGCCATTTATAATATGTATTGTACAGTAGTTAGACGGTTTTAAGTTTAAAACTTTTTGACTAATGCGAAAAGTTTCCTTTCTAAAAGCAATCCTGAATTTATAAAATCATTGCTGAAAATAGATGAGCCGACGATACCTTTTTTCTACTTCGATCATTAATATCATTGAAGATCTTAAGTAATACCCCCATAGTACCGTTGAAAGTATTAGCAAGTGATTCCTATCTCAACTAAAGTGTCACAAGCAATAAGCATCTTCGGGAAAAACGTGCCCTATTGCTTCTCTACCCTCCTTATAGCCCTATCTGGCTCCGTATGACTTTTTTTATTTCCCGAAATCAAAAAAAGTTGGTGAAAAGTGGTTTGTCAACACCTCACCCATATAGAATCAATTTCTGATAGCATGCCACTAAAAGAGTATTCCACTTGTTTTCAGATTGACGTAGAAAGCTGAGACAATGTAAAGTGATGAAAGGAAGTATTACGAAGAAATAGCGGGGCTAGATTGATATTTATTATGTACATAAAACTTTTACGAATCTTGTGTCGAAACTTTTTGAACGCCCCACGTATACTTGATAAATGCAAGTCGAAATTGATATAGTTATCTGACATCTCAGCAGCTATAACAATATGAGAGTGTTCTGATTATAAGTTCAAATTCGTTCCATGGACAATAAAAGAATTCCGACATAAAGAATAAACGAACAGTAAATGCTCCTTTAGTAATGGAAAGGAAGGGAGTAGATGTCTCAGTCTATGTGGCGAACCACCATATGCTCTGTAGGCATAAAATAATCAAATTATGAAATGTAGAAAAGCACTTATTGGTTAGTATCTTCCAACACCCGGTTGGACTTCTCTTCATAGCGTTTTAACTTTGCTGCTTGCTGTAACACAATGTCCTGCAGCTTTTCAATTTCACTATCCAGAGAATGGTTCTGCTCTTCAGACTCTATTACAATAAATAAGGTTACTCGAGATCTACAAATACTTATCATGCGAAAGACAGCCAATTCAGCGTCAACTCACCTTCAAGACTTGCTTTCAATTCATTGATCATCTTCCTCTGTAAGGATATTTCGACTTCATATTGTTCAACTCTTCCCTGACGCAACTGCCGCCCCAATTCTTCATTTTCTGACTGTAGAGCTTTTAACTTGGCTACCAACTTCTTACCTGTTATGCTTAAATATGAACCAGTATAGGTTACTTTAAATGTCAGGCTTAGCTGATTCAATCCCATGGCTTAGCTGATTCAATCCCATGACTTACCTATTTGATGTAAAGTTTATTCCTTCAAGTTCTCGCTGTAATTCCTCGATAATTTTGTTTTTCTCTTCAATATCTTTTTTCATTGTTCGAAACAATACATTAATTGCAGGATCAAGAAATTTTTTGCGGAGAGACGGATCATATGAAAAGTCCGGTGTTAATACTTGGGACAATGATTGAAGTTCGGTCTGATAAACGGGGGCATGATAAAGTTCGAAGAATAAGAGTCAAGCCAGCGTAAAAATAAACTCACACGAAAAATAGCTCACCAACAGTGTTTGAACTTCTTCTTCTTTCTTGGTTAACCGTAATAGTAAATCAGGGTTGTGAGGTATAGTTCCCGGCGATGCCGAATCAGGTTTCACCTTCAAGCAATCCGAGTATGTCCGTCTGTAATTGGCGATGAATCACTTGTGTATACAAAGTATTGGTTCAAAACTAACCTTTTTGCTAGTGTTGATTTCTGTTATAACCCGTCGGGTCTCTACAATAAAGGCATATTCTATTCAGTATTTATTAACAAAACGAGACATTTTAAAACGCAAAGTTATGTCAACCTTCGCCAGGAGAAGAATTCGATAGTTTTCGTTTTTTCGGGGAAGTTATTGGAGACGTAGAGGCCATAACGTTTTGACCCAAGTGAAGAGAATTACACCAACTTCAGATCTCTATGTGTAACGTCACTCCATACAACGATAATATATTTTAATGAATGCATCATAATTAATGAACATTATTAATGCGACTTTATTTCCAAGCTACGATATCCTGGCTCGCTAAAGCTAGTTTTTGAGAGGGAGAAGCCAATGTGGAATGGGAGATGTAAGTGTCTATATGTTATATGTTATAATAAAGAATTGAGACTAGGTTAGCGCTTTCCTTTTTAAAGTATGATCCCTTTTTATTGGCCATATGTCATGTGAACGCAATACAACCAATAGGCCAATACGCGCGCTTCACAATATGAAGGCAGCCATGACTAAACAGGGCACCTTCTAGATGTCCTTATGACCTTCTAGGTAATGTTAAAGTCCGCACGTTTCAAATTTCGAGTAAACTAAATTAATGTGCGTGGTGCAGGACATACTTACATACTTACCACAATCCCGTTCCCAGTTTGTATCTATCAAAATGAGTTCATTTTCTTTTAAGTGCAGCTTTTCTTTTAGTTGTCGAGGCATACATAATTAACTCGTTGCTCGTGAATTGCCCCGCGTTTGTTGGTAAATCCACATTCGACGTTAAGTATTAGCTTATTGGCCAGCGATTCAGTTAGTCTTCGTAATTCGCACCCTCTAAGCACTTCCTCTAAACCACAATTGTTATACTAAAGCCTCGATCCCAATTTCTTGAGATTGTCCTCAGTACTAAAAGCCAAATGATTATAACATCCAGTTTGATGGAATGAATATTTATTATTCACCATTGTATTCCAATTAATAAACCATTACTGCACATATAACCAATAAAAAGAAAATGTTTACAAGAAGAACTAATGACAAGCAATTAATTAATGCAGCTAAAGAATGCTCTACTGTACATTGCGCTATAATAAAAAAGGGGAGCATTTGGTCAACGAGACGATACCAGCGTCGTTCAACGATCTTTCTCATTGATTCTATCCGACTAGGATAGAAAGAACACTGTTAACCGGACAGGTTCGTGTGCCATTAACACTCAAAAGGACTTTAACCGGACAGATTCGTGTACCATTAACACCTCAAAAAGATTTTAACCGGAAGATAATCTTTCATGTATGCCGTTTTCGCGTAAATCTCCATTCTCATTTCCACTCCTATTTTCGTGCTCCCTCTCCCACTCCAAATCCCGTTCCAATCCCTCTAATTTCACCATTGCATTATACGTCCTCAGCAATAGCATGCTTTCCAACGAATACTTCCCATTCCTCTTTTCAGTTCCATCCCCACCATCAAGTACCCTCTGAAACTCCGACCTAGCCTTTCCAAACTCTTTCATATTTGTATATAACCTTCCCAGTTCGAATCGGGCAAAATGCACGATATAATGATCCAATTTGATACAAGCTCCCTTCCTAATCGCATATTGAAATGACGCAATAGCAGTGGCACAGGTTGACGTTGAATTATCTTTGTTGTTCTTGCAAGCTTTTTCGTCTTCGGGATTGTTGGGGAAGGCTATCTTTGAAAGAAGAACTCCGCGAAGGAGATAGGCTAAGCAAACGTCATCCCAATAATTTACATAGAATTGGTTGTCTTTGACGGAGTCCAGATTGTCAATAGTTAATTCAATAGTAGATAAAGAGCGGAGTAGAGGAACCAAAGGCATTACATCGTAGGAGTTCCAGATGTAAGTTAGTTCATATGCAGGGAGTAGTAAGCGATAACCTTGGGATATAAACTTGCGGGCTTTGCGGGCAACGAATTTCTGTAATGTTTGAACAAGACGAGGTGAATTGACAAGTATTGGGAGATAAGGCAAAATAAAATCGAGATGGTTTGCACAAAAAAAGCTAATGTAAAAGTAACAGCGATAGACAGAGTGCATATTAAGGATACTTATGAACTGAATAATAGAATATCTCATTCTCTTACCTCTAATGGAATAGACTTTCCTGCAATACGCTGAATCAATTTTGGTACTTTCTTCAGCATCTTGATGACTCGATCCATATCCTCTTGCTTCCCTAAAGTATACAAGCATATAGCCTGATGATACAGATATATACATTTACTCCACATTGACTCCTTGCAAAGAGTCTTAAAACATTCGTACGCATTCTCGAAATCCATTAGACACTGATAATTCAATGCCATCTCCCAGTAGCAGATGTGATGCAATTGCTTCCATTGCTTCTGAATCGATATTGCCGTTTTATACTGTTCTATCGCTTCGTGAATGTAGGATTCTGATTGATTGAGTCTCCCAGAAAAGTACAAGAATAAGACTCCGTTGGGATATCGTTGCAGGTTATAATCCAGCACTTTAGCGGCAAGTGCCTTGTTCGTATCAGCAACAGGAACAAGATTGCTAATAATTAGATGATAAGTCAACAAAGCCAGATCACAGAACGGCCTTCTTATTCCTTCTTCCTCAATAGTGATATCGGGTACTTTTTGCGATGGATCACTTGTCCATCCTCCACATGATTCCAGTATTTTCAATGCGTGGTCTCTATCACCGGAGAATCCAACAAACTGTACGAATTTAAGAACTCCCGGTGGAAGAAGAGATAACATCAAGTTAAATAAGCCCATTCCAAGCGATACACCAGAACTAAAGTGACTGTCTACTTCGAAGTTCGAAATTTCTTCTTCTTCGTGTATGTGCTCCATGAACTTTGACAAGTTCCGATATATGAGGTAACTATTCCTAATATTAATTCCTTCTCTTATGAAAGAGACAAGCGAGTTGTCATAAAATATGCTGAGTACAGCCTTGAGCAAATACGCTTCAGCGTAGACTAATTCAGCGTGTCTTTGTAACCTTGACATTGATTTCAATGCAGATACTCCAGCTGCAGTTCGGATGATGGAGGACAGTGATCCGAATAGTCCTTCTTTCTTTCTCAATACGGAAGCAATGTATACGGTTACTTTCAGTGCGCTGATGGCTTTCTTAATATCCTGAGGCTCAAACGTCATTAGTGACTTTAGATAGCAGACGAATGAATATCCTAGAGAGTGATATAGAGAAGTCTTGCTTTTAATAAAAAGTAAATCTTCTGCATCACTCATTCTTGAGTTTAAAAAGAGTTGTAATGCAGAGTGTACTTCTCGCAAATCTTCGTCTAGATCAATATCACCCTCTTCCGCTAACGTGATAGGCATAATCATGGTTTTCTTTGATAGCTTCTTTAAAGCGCCTCTGGTGGGTATGACTGGTATGGATTGAGATGCTTTAGTGTACAATAGTTTCGCTTGTCTCCTAGTAGCAGGAAAGCCTGTCAATGTGTGAGATGATGAATGTGATGTGATCGAGCCTCGTTGAGAATAAAACAGGGATGGAAGTTCAGTGATGTCATCTCCTTGTGTGGATATATCGTCATCTGTTGTCGTTTCGAATTGCACGGAAGAGGTATCACTGAGAGCAGTATCATCCCACAAGTTGAATAGGTTGCTTGTGGTGTTTGGCGGTTGATGCTCGAGTGCGTCCTGAAATATATCATCGTCTGAATCTGAGTCTGGATCTGAAAATGAATATGTGTTGCGGGTAATGCGAATAGTCGGCGAATCTGAAATTCCGTTTGCGGTCATATTCGGCGAGAGAAGGGTAAGTGACATTATAAAAGAAGATATAATATAAGGAATACAATATAATATATAATTGATAATTTAGTATAGGTATTGGCGGACGTTTGATATTAAGTAGAGTTTTTTGTTGAGATTGTTGGTAGTCGTTAACAGCGATTAACAGTCGCTGCAAATGAGTGTGAGATATTTTAAGAGTAATACTTTTTCACTAAGAAGTGGAAACTTGTGTGTGTCCATATTTACAGTGAGACTTAGCGCCTATGTATAAGTGTCACGCGTATAATTGATGTTGGTAAGAGAAGAAGAGAGACGCGTTGCACAAAATGAAGACTGTTGTGCTTAAGCAGTTACCAATCACGACTGTCGCGCAGATGTTGATCAACATTAATAGCTGGTTCGGAAAATAAACATAAACTTAAGTACAAATGACTCGTAATTTTTATGCAGATCCAATCTGGGTTTAGCAGTTATTAATTGACTGTCTATGATTGGTAGACATTAAACCGTCTTATCATACGAAACGCTTTGTCGGCTAATATATTAATATTTGCAAGATCGATTAATTAGAACACCAATTAATGATGTATGGCTCATTTATAGAGTTGCCCTATCACAATTTGCTCATGTCGAGCGGTTAGATCAAACAATAGAAATATAATCATTTAGGTACAACTCGTCCTACATTATACGATAGTCTGCTTACATATGAAGCAGCAAAAAAATTAAAAAGATAGAGTGTGATAAACTGAGTTGAGAGCATCTGGCTGTTGTTGCATTGTGGTTGTTGTGATGTTATTGTTATGGTTGTTGCGTTATTGATGTGTTATAATTGTAGCAATGTTATAGCAGCAGCAGCAGCAGCAGCAGCAGTAGTAGTAGTAGTAGTAGTAGTAGTAGTAGTAGTAGTTGTAGTTGTAGTTGTAGTTGTAGTAGTAGTAGTAGTTGTTGTTGTTGTTGTTGTATTAATTGGGAAATCGACACTGAATTTTCTCAAATACCCTTCTGCAGTATTTTACAAATTCTACACTAAAAATAGCACAGTTAGAAATTACTTCAAATACCGTAGAATGTGGTACTAACATCAGTTATTTAATGTATAAATGTCGTACTGTCGAAAATCAGGAAAGCCACGAATTCGGAGAGATGACCGAGTAAAAAATCTCTCAAACAAATTAATTGTTTTAATGGCGATTTCGCCAATACAGAAAGTTCAAAAACTGTTCGAAGAGCCAAAGGTTATTACATGAGAAAAGGATGGCGAGGATGGCGTGAACTCGTATTATCAAAACCCATAACAGAACTATTGACGGCTTTCTGTGAAAAATACAAGAAAGAGGAGAAGAGACATACAGATGTCTTGCGTCTACCTTATACATAGGGAGAGAATAATATTAAATACTAATAATTTGCGTCACTTAGTTGTATTAACCACTGTGTCTATGTTGTTGGCCAAGACGTTTTGTGTCAGTCAGGGATTTATCATATTGGGAAGTGATAATCGACTTGAGCAAATCTTTGTACTCAAACAATTAGCTATTTCCTTCTTTGGATGTTCGAAAGTCCATCGTATGTCTCTTGTGACATTTTCCATAAAATAAACTAAGGCAATCTATATTTTGTTGATACCTCTTTGTGTTGTCATAAGAAGTTCTGTCTAATCATATCAAACTTGCATGTAAGCTGAGCTTTTTTTTTTGGAGAGAGAAAGAATTTCACTGTTTATGAACAAATCGATAATAGCGATATGCAGCATCGTATAACGGAAGCTACTTTTGCGCCCTATCACAATGAAAGTCGTGTGTATAGCCAATAATAAACAAATTGGTGAATTTGCGGTCTGAGTTGGTAAAGTTTTCTAGTAGAGTAATTTTTTTTTTGTTGTTGTTGCAACCCCGGAGATGTTGAAAGTGGTGTCTCTGAGAATTATTTAACGTCTTTCCCTAACTATAGTTTCTTTCCCTGGTTTATTAGGTATTCATAACCTCATTGCTTAGTTATAAAGTGTATAAAGTGCTTGTAAATTGTGTGTTTTGCGCTTTATGTGTTTATATATTATAACACAGATATTAGTTAAAACTTATGTTGCTTTCTGCTTCTAAACTTTTAGGCGTTCAGCTAGTACACAACGCGCTTTTCAAAGCGTCTTGTATTACAATGTCATTAGGTTTATGCTTGTATGTCAACACTTAATATTAATTTTTCGTTTTGACTTGACGTGGTCTTATTATTATTATTTTTACAGCCCAACAATACTTCGAGTCAACTGAATGCAACCACAGTACTGATTTTTTAACCAGTGTGCATGTATGTATTGGGGAAATGAATTATTATACGCTGATTTTGCATATACAGTAATAGCGCTCATACCAGAGGCAAAATTTATTTGAATATTTTTTTGACTGATAATTGTCACATGCACTAAACGCGAAGCCATTTTGATTTCTGTGTGGATGGCTGTTTTATTATCGTAATAATTTTAATTAATAGAAAATTTAGGATGTGATTTTACGATGTTATAATCGGAATTAATGTAAAATAATAGATTAATATCAATTTTGTTTAACATTTACAAAGACAACGGAAAGTATCAAAAAAATTCGAATTACATGGAATTGTAAGTGTCTACCCATGAACTTATTTTGCTCGTGAGAAAGACTATTAAGATACGTGTGCAGCAAATGTGACCGATTAACGATTTGTGACCGCGATCCATCATATAGTCTGTGTTGCATGCATGTTTTATGCGCGTAGGCTCCATATAAGATTGCATGTTTTATGCATGTTTTCGGTTCCGCCATTCAAATGCCGACAACCATAAACATATTTAAA